ATGCTCATATCCGAAATTTCTCATCCCTATTCTTAGAAATCACTTCTGCGCTCTGTCCAGTGTGTTCACATCCTTCCTGTAATTTATTGCCCAGAACTGTACACAGTACTCCAGCTGAGATTTAACAAATGTCTTATACAAGCTTAACATTACCTCCTTGCTCTTCTACTCTATGCCCCTATTAACAAAGCCAAGGATACTGTACGCTTTATTAAAAATCTTAACTGTCCTGCCACTTTCAGTAATCTGTAAAAATATACACCCAGTTCCCTCTGCTCCTGCACCCTGTTTAGAAATGTATCCCCAGCCCTATTTTCTATTGTCTTTCAACATTCTTTTGACCAAGGTACATCATCTCACAATTCTCTGCATTGAACTCCATCCTCCATCTATCCACCTGATCCACTAACTTGTCTATGTTCTTTTGAAGTTCTACAGTGTTCTCATCACAGTTTACAATTCTTCCAAATTTCATGTACTCCACAAACTTTGAAGTTATGCCCTGAACCAAGATCTAGATCATCAATACGTCATAGGAAAAACAAGAGTCCCAATATTGACCACTGGGGAACTCCACTACAAACCTTCCTCTATTCTAAAAAATATTCATTGACTTTTACAATCTGTTTCCTATCACTCAGCCAATTTTGTATCCATATTGCTTGTGATCCTTTTATTCTATTACCTTTCCTCACAAGTCTGTTATGTAGCACTATACAGAACGGCTTCGGGAAGGCCATAAAATTGTAACAAAACTTCTCTAGTATTGTACCTCAATCCCTGCAATAAACGTCAATATACCATGTGATTTCCTAATTGTTTGCTACACCTACATGTCAATTGTCTGTTCCTTTTATGGTTACACAGAAATCTACCTGAACATATTTAACATGTGTGACCATTCTTCCCATGCACACTTAGACTAGGGTTTATGTCAAAACAAAAGTTCAACCCCAAAAGCAATTCATTGATGGATGAGAAAATTTGCCAATTTTATTTTCTCATCCCCTCTTGAAGATGTTCATTATTTACTGCAATAGATCTTCAAGGGGGTTGATCACAGTCCAGCTTTTGTCCAATAATCATGCTTGAGCTTTAACTATCTCTATACAACTCTGGAGTCAATACAGCCAAGCCTGGACTTGCTTTTACTAGGTCATTGCTCATGGATTGAGAGCACCAGCCATTCTCCTCTTACCTGAAATCTTGCTCTGTTTGAGATCACCAACCCAGCATAGACAAGAGATCAAACCTAGTCTGAGTCAGCCAACACTGGATACACTTACAGAGCCAAAAGATATATTTTTAACTGTGGATTCACATACTTGGCTGCTGTTTCTAAAAGAAAAGTCACAGACTTCCTGCTTCCTTCTTCCTGCTTTAAATGCTGCCACACACTTTCTGCACCTCATTCACTAACATAACTACATGTGTCTCTGTTTCCTAAACATTTGTTTTAACAGAAATAGTTATTTGCTTCCCCTAACTGATAGCAATATTCAAATTTATTTATTTACACAATCATAATTCACTTTCCTTTTGAGATATGTGAGGAAACTGCTAACTATCCACAATCCCTTTGGTTATGGATAGTTATCATGGTCTGATTCACTCCTTACCCAACATTGATGCACTTTACTTCAGAAAGTGCTTGAAAGCAAAAAGAAGTGAAGTGCCTTGTTGACTTTTCTCTTTCCTTCTCCAAAACCCCGAAGATCATCTACACTGAGATTGACTTAGAAATTAGTGATATCTCTGGAATTCACTTTAGATATGATTGTGTCTCATGTAATTTGTCACTTCACTCATAACCAACCAGTAATGTTCTTCCTTGCAGGAGGAGATTTAGAGATTGAAGTGGCTTCAAGATGACCAGTGATGAAAGTTCAGAAAAAAGTCAAACTGAGCAGCATATGCATGAATTTTAAAACTGAACCAGGTAGATTTGCATGACCCTAATTGATATTTGAACGCGTAGACTGGCACACTTCTAGAACCCAAAGGAATAAATGTGTCTTTTGGATTCGGATCCCTCCCATTTCACCTTGTAGGCCAAAAGCAAAGAACTATGCTGGAAACCTGAAATATAAACAGAAAATGCTGAAAGCACTCACCAAGCCTGGCAGCTATAAGACCATAAGATGTAGGAACAGAAGGAGACTATTCAGCCCATCAAGACTGTTCTGCCATTTAGTGAGATCATCACTAATCTGAGAGTCCTCAACTCCACTTTCACATCTTTTCCCCATAAACCTTGATTCCCTTCCTGATTAAAAATCTGTCTATCTCAGCTTTGATTATTTTTAAGTGAGCTGGCATTGATAAACCTCCATGGTGAAGAATTGCATAGATTCATGACTCTCTGAGAGGAGAAATTCCACTTCATCTCTGTTTTAAATGGGTGACCTCTTATTTTGAGATTATGCTGTCTGGTCCTAGATACTCTCACAAAGCTCAAGAATCTCTTTGCATCTATCCTGTCAAGCTCCTTAAGAATCCTTCATGTTTCAATAAGGTCACTGCTCGTTATTCTAACCCCCAATGAATACGAGCCTGACTGACTCAACCTCTCTTCATAGGACAGTCCCTCCATACCTGGAAACAACCTGGAGACCCTTCCCTTGACTGCCTCCTATGCCAGTATATCTTTTCTTAGATAAGGGGATCAAAACTGTTCACAATATTTTAGGTGTAGTCTGAGTAGTGCTCTGAATAGTTACAGCAAACCCTCCCTACTTTTATATTCCAATCCCTTTGAAATAAATGCCAACATTTCATTTGCCTTCCATATTACTCACTGAATGTGGGTGCTTACTTTTTTGTGATTCATGCATGAAAACCCCCACCATCCTCTGTACTGCAGCTTTCTGCAGTCTTTCCCCATTTAAATAATATCAGTGCTTCTAATCTTCATGCGAAAGTGCATAACTTAATATTTTCCAACATGATATTCCAGCCATCAAGCTTTTGACTATTTTCTTGACCTGTCTTTATCCCCATGTAGACTATGTTATCCTCTCTACTTGCCTTCCCAGCTATTTTTATGTCATCTGCAAACTTGATAACAATACATTGATATCTGTTGTTGATATATAGTAAATAATTGTTACCCCAGAACTGATTGCTGTGGAATTCCACTAGTTACAAGTTGCCATCCTTAAATTGTCCCCCTTTATCCCAACTCTCAGCCTTCTTAGCCAATCCTCTATCCATTCTCATATACTATCTCCAACACCATGGGCTTTAATTAAGTTTGATGTGGAGGTGCTGGTGTTGGACTGGGGTGGACAAATTCAGACGTCAGACGACAACAAATTATAGTCCAACAGGTCTATTTGAAATCACAAGCTTTGAGACTGCTGCTCCTTCATCAGGTGACTTTATTTCCCCAATGATATTTTAAATTAACTGGCCTATTGTTGTCTGTTTTTCTTCTCCCTCCCTTTTTGAACAAGGGTGTTAAATTGACAGTTTTCAAGTCCTCAGGGATTTTTTCCAGAATCTAAGAAGTTTTGAAACATTATTACCAGAATTCTGAGCAGTTACCTTCTTTAACTTTCTTTAACATCCTAGGATACAACTCATTAGGTCTAGGGGGCTTATCAACCTTTAGGGCTATTCATTTCCTTGTTCTTCAATGATAGTTGCTGCATTTAGTTCTTCTGCGATCCCACCCACTTTTGCCTTTCGTTATTGAGTGTTTGTGATTTCTAACATTAAGACTGATACAAGTTATTTATTCATTCCCTGTTAGGACCAAAATGTATTGTTCTCAAAAACTGTCCCAAATACAAACTATGAATTCTTCTGTGTGACAACCTCTGCTAATTTATTTATTTTAATCCACATGAAGATTAAAGTCACCCATGATTAATGTACTGCCTTTTTTTATATCCTGTCATTATTTTCTGATTTATTCTTTGTCCTACACAACAGCTACTGTTGGGGCTGTATGGGAGACATTGATGCATGGAATTTATTACACACAAGTTCCTACTATTCAGGAAAATTCTTTCTACAATTTGTAATGTTCTCAAAGTAAAATATTCAAACAAAAATTTTCCCTCATTTTCTTCTTCTCTGCCTTCCCTCTCTCCTATCTCTCTAATTCTTCACTTTCCTTCAAAAGTTATTTATCTCGATCAGTTTCATGTGTCAGATCTATGACTCCGATGCATTCTTGTTTGGAAGTTATAGCTAAAGTTTAGTTGTTTACAAACAGATATTGACCACTTCTGTTGTCCTCGTCCTCTTTGATGTTTTTTTTCTATTTATGTAATTGTTTATATATATTTATATGCATATACCAAAGTGTAAGAGATATTCATTTCTTATTAGGTTTTTTTATGTGGTCTACCATCAAAGCTATGTTTTGGCTATTTAATTTCCTCCCCAATCCCTTGATCTGTTTTAGTTGATGACTCATCAACTGGCTCCACTTTCA